TTCAACTCCGCCTCGAACCCAAGCTCAGGCGATACCAGCGAAAGATCTGTAAATCCAACACCCGATGCTACATGTCTGGCCACGGGAAAGGGTCCCGTTATCAAAATAGTCAACCAAGAACTTAAAAATGGAAGGACGATCGCCCTTTTAGATACAGGCTCAGATTATAACCTCATCTGTATACCAGCGCTTCTTGAAACTGCGCTCTGTCATAGAGTAAATAATGGAAGCATAGGAGGTATAGGTCAAAGGAGCATGCCAATCAAAGGAAAAATCACATTACAAACTCTATGAACCGAAATAACATTCCACATTGTACCAAACCCCCCAGGAGGCTACAACGCCATCTTAGGTAACGAATTCTTTAAAAAGGAGCAAGCTAACATCTCGTTTTACTAGAACACACTTGTGCTCCGTAAACGGCCTATGAAACCTATACCTATTATTATGCCTAGGGAATATCCAGATAAACGCGTACTGGCATTAGGAATAGGCCCTAAGGTTTATCTGTCCTGCAACTCACTCCTTGGCGATTATCAACGGTTCTTAATCGACACAGGAGGGGACGTTTCACTGATCAATTTATCAGCCCTTAAACCTACCACGCCTATAAACACAGAAAATTCGATACAACTGAGAGGACTAAATGGTTGGCCCTTAAAAACCAAAGGCACAGTCGATCTCAAGGTTTTAGGATTAACAGTCGTATTCCAAGTGTGTGAAGAGGATTTACCTTTCCCTGGAGTCGGTATTTTAGGAAACGATTTTCTGGAACGAGAAAAAGCTGAAATATCTTATCATCAGCAATCTCTGAGTCTCATATCTCATCCGTCGAAAAACAATTCACTTCAGCTTGAAACTCAGCAATCCTCGAGGTACACCATACCTCCTCGAATGAAGATGACAATTTCGATTGCGATCGGAAACTCGGAAATGACCGAAGGATACCTGCCGAGAATACCTCTGCCTCAGGGAGTACTTTTAGGCGAAGCACTTGTGACAGTCGAAGACAAATTCGCTATGTGCATGGTAACCAACGTCACCAACGAGGCCCAAGAGTTAGATATCCCACCTCAGACGCTCGAGGAATTTGAATTCGACCACTCAGACTCAGGGGGGGACGAATCCGATGGACCCGAATCCTGCAAGTCTTCAAAAATAACAGATCCAAAATCCAGAATCGCCTACATCATGGATAAAGTAAAACTGAATCACCTATCAGAACAGGAAAAAGAAACAGTTAAAAATCTAATTCGTAATAATCACGATATTTTTCATATTCCTGGAGATAAATTAGGATGTTCCAAAAATTTTTCTTGTAGAATCGAAACGACTTCAGATCTGCCCATCAGAATTAAACAATACCGATTTCCTCCCGAACAGCGAGAAGAAATAGCTAAGCAAATCGCAAACCTCGAAAAACAAGGGATAATAAGACAATCTAACTCTCCCTACAATTCACCGCTTTGGATAGTCCCGAAGAAATCCACTGATCCTCAAGTAAAGAAATGGAGACTGGTTATTGATTACAGACAACTGAATAAAATCAGCAGGGGGGATGCATATCCACTCCCGCTTATCATAGACATTAGGGACCAAAATCTTCAGCGTGTTCGATCTGGCCAGCGGATTCCACTAAATACCAATGGACCCAAGAGATGTCCATAAAACAGCATTCTCCACACCAGACGGGCATTGGGAATATTGCTGTATGCCTTTTGGTTTCGAAAATGCTCCAGCCCAATTCCAAAGGATGATGGATTCAACCTTCAGCGGACTTAAAGGAGTAGAACTGTTCGTTTATATTGATGATCTCGTCAGCTACGCGAAAATGCTCCCTGAACACGAAGCAAGGGTACAGAGACTATTTAATCGTTTAAGAGAAGCCGGATTAACTCTTCAACCAGAAAAATGTAAATTTTTCTGCCCCGAAGTAGAATATTTAGGGCATAGTAGAGAACTTCCTCTTCGTAATCTACGTATATTGAGGAATACGTTTTTTGGCATTTCTACAAATGGTACGTTTAAGTTTATTCATTGATATATTTTTAGTTTTTTTTTTCGCAGTTTATTGTTATATTAATTCCGGATTTATTTTTTTAGATTCGGGCATGCGACAACTGCATTGTCACCATTGTAATCAAGAGCATACGTTTATTTGAGTACTTTAGTCATTCAATATTTAGTTAATATAAAAATAATCATTATAAAATGTATATTTATAATTAAAATAATACTTAAAATCTTTTTTGATTATTAAATTTTATTTTGTTCGAATTTTTTTAGTAAACGGTTATATCAAAGAACGAATTATAAGAAGAAAAAATTGCTAAGCAATTAAAAAAATAGAAAAGGCCATTCGACAGCCGAAATGGAAGTAGATTTCATAAATAAAGATGAAAATGTATATAGATTTATAGGAGATATATTGGACAAGTTAATCGAAAAAACGACTGCAAGAGTAAAATTTCATTGAAACCAACAGACGAATAGGTTATTTTAAGTTTAGAAGAATGAAATGGGACGAAAATTAAAGCTTGTTTAATGGGCTTTAAAATGCAATTTACAAAAATTCGATAAGTTATTTCATTCAAAAGTTATGCGCGAAAGAATCAGCCAAAAAATGAATTTTTAGGATTTTTAAAATTTTGAAACCCTGTAATTTCTGAACTATACTTGACAGATTAAGCTCATCTTTGAACTTGGCCTTGGTATTCGTCTAAAAATGAAGTATGTTGAGTTTGGAAAGGATCCATTATGAATTAGAGACGCTATCGTCCGGATAAGCCGCGTTATATCGCCTATATATA